TTGGTGCTCGGCCTAAAATGGGCGCTGTATAGTGGGGAAATGGCGAAAGAACGGAGTGAAACGGTCAAAATCCTGCGAAGAAAAAGCCTCCGTCTCAGTGACTTGAAAATCGATTTCGGACGAGTTTCCCGTAGGCATCTTACCAATCACCGCTACCGAAGATACGGCTGCATATGTGTACCCATGTATGCATGCAGCATCACGGCCGCTTCATACCAATCCCTTCGCTTCATAATTTGCTTAGCAAATGAATGAATACGAGCGTCAGGAACGGTCGTCCATTTGTGGGCGGGCGGGCGTTTTGGGTCGGTATGTTGTGGCTTGATAGGGCCCTTATAAGGGCACCTCCCTTGGAAAAGGCATGCAGCGCCTGCTCAGGGTCGCGGAATTCCGTCCTGCCAGGCGTATTAATCCTACTTGTCTTGGGGATTTATCGTGCCAACTGCCTTTAACTGACTGCTCGCCAAATCGCACTGAGCAAAACTACAATTCTGGGTGGAAGTAGAATGTGTGGCGCATCCAAAAAGGATTCGTCGACGCCGAGTGCCTTGTTTTTCCAAGACGTTTATGTCGCCAGTGGTCATGTTATCGGTCATAATATAATCGTTACTTACTTTATCGCGAGGATACGATAACGAATCGTGGTCCTTTGGAGGGGACCCGAACCGTGGATCCGTGTTTTCCGGACACAGCACTTATCCATAACACTATAGCAACTTCATTGCATTTCCTCACCTCTTCAGTGGCAAAAGTTAGTGCAGGAATTTTTTTTGACGATGACGATTTTCGCCGCCATATTTGTAACCAAGGTAACGATAATGCAGAAAATCTGTTTCCTCGTTCTGGTTGCTATTCTTGTTTGCTACTTCTAGCATTTCTTGAGAAGCCCCTCCAGTACGCCTTCGGGGGTGGGGGCATCTATGCACACTCCTAAATTTGTCATACCCTTGTCAAACATTGAAGGGTCTGAGTGCAATTATTAACTGCTCCTCGTAGTGCTGGCAGGAGATTTGGGGGGAGGGGGGCGTGCATAGATCCCTCCCCTCCCCTCCTTTAAGGGGGACAGCGTCCAAACATAGTTCTGCTGGTTCTCAGAAAGAGCTCATTAACAGTTGAACTTTTGCAATTTGCGCTCGTTCTTGTTATTTCCGCCTTATTTACCGAGAAGTAGACTATTGATTTCACCTGTGGAGTTCCATTTCGCTCGATAAATTGCCGTGTTACCGCAATGGGAACTGCAGCATCTATCATTAAAGAATGCCTTCTCAGAATGTCGTTGGCTCGTGCCTATCTGGGGATGCAATGCTTCTGGGGAGAATCTGCATTTGCCAAGGTAGATTTTTTTTTTAAAAAGGTTTTCTAACCTGATAAAGTCTTTTTTCAGCTGAAAAGGCGTGAAAAAGACGCGTGTGGGCTATGCTGGAGGCACGACCGTCAACCCAACATATCGAAATTATCGGGACCAGCACAGGTGCCTTGTTTGAGACTAGCCTTTATTGAGCCCCTGTAACTTGCTGCCTTATCCTTCTTAAACCCCTTTTAGAAGTGACTGAAGTGCAGTTCGATCCGTCGCAGATCTCGTACCGCCAAGTGCTCGATTTCTTCTGGTCACATCACAATCCAGCTGAACTACGGAAAAAGCAGTACCAGTCGGCGATCCTTTACGAGACAGAGGACGAGAAGAAGATCGCCGAGCATACCTACGCTCAGGCTCGGGTTTGTACAACTTGAGAGTCGGTTAGCTGTAGCCCTGAAGTTTCGAATGATTTCAGACGAAATACGGCAACATAGAGACGTATGTGGTCAAGTTGGACAAGTTCTACCAGGCTGAGGACTATCACCAGAAGTACTGGCTCCGAAACAGGCATGACATATTCGATGAAGTGAGCGCTTGGTTTGGGCCCTTTTGAGTAACATTCCTCCAAATAATTTATATTTCAGCTCAAGCTGAGTGATGACCAAGTCGCCAACTCTGTTCTGGCAGCCAAGGTAGGCAGAGCGTTTCAGCTTTGATTAACTTTTGAAAGACTGGACAGATACCCCGTCAGGGTTGAAAGTGCGCGTCCATAGCACTCGAGGCTAAAATCAGAACTGTTTTGCTCCTCGAAGTGGCGCTATCTGAGTAGAAAAATACGCAGTGACCTTGGCGAGGGTTTAAACTTCAATTAAAAATTTCTCGAATATCCTGTAATCGTCAAAAAATAGAGATCTGACTCAAATTCCATGCTGACTGTATGGGCGGAGTCACTTAGACTGTCCATCTCCGTTGTTCCCCCTCCCTGGCATCTGGGAGAGATGATGGGCTCTGAAAAGAGTAGAGCAGTCTAACCATGAATGAAGCCACTCATATGCTTCGTGGAATTTGCATTTGAAGTGTTCAGAATGAATCAGTGCTTTCTGGGACGCGCCACGACTTCCACTCATGATGGCAAAGGTATTTTAAACAGGCGCAGTTCGGCCAAGGGGTGGCACGTTCTTCTCTTCCGTTGGCTTCTTTTGCAAAGTCGTGCTGACTGACAAGTTTCACCACAGTGCGGCTCTTGTGAACCTGTGAAGTTGCAGCTACCGTGGTTACGAGAATTCGCAGGTCTTCCCAAGGTGGCCTGTTCAAGCTTCGCAGAGTTCCGTTTAGTGCCCCCCCCCACTTCTAGCCAAACTGCGTCGGAACGAGGTAAAATTTCAGATTTGCTGCCCACTTCCTTCGCCGCAACTGACCATGAGAAGGAATGTTCCTCACCCTCATATGTCAACCCCGCCCTTGCTCTAATTGTCACTTCATATCCTGAAGAGAGGGAGGGCGTGGTTGCAGACTATTCGAACAGTGCGTAATTAAAAACGTGTGTTTATACTTTCATTTGACAACTGTCATCCTGTCTTGTGCTGGACAAAAGGCAGGGGTAGCATTGTCCCAAAATGACAATATGCCCCTAGAGTCACAGCCACCGTTCAAGCTTAGGCGTACGCAAGCACGCCTTCCCGGCCGTCGGGATAGGGACTGTATCTGCAATATTCGTAATGAAATGCCTTTTCAGATGAACGCCTATTGTGCTGGTTATACGGACTTCTCCGAGTTGGAGGAGCTGAAGAAAGAACATGGACTCAGCGACAGCCTGGTGGAACGAGTCAAGCATTTCGCGCTAGCTGGCGGTGATCCAAGAAATTGCCACTAATGCTCTTTCTGTTCCTGTCGTTTCCCGTCTTACCACACTACTCATTGCCGTACACTCTATTACGCAGTAATCAGAAATATGATAACATCGACGGTCTGCTTGCTATATGCTTAACAATTAACGTGGTGTCAAGTTTTCAATGTGATCTTTCCTACGAGAATCTTACAAGTATTATTTTTCATCTTAATTATTCTTCTCTTTATCTCTTCAGATCTTGCTTGCCTCTAATCATTCGGTGCCCAACATCCTATTGGAATATTGCAATGAATGGACCAAAAATAAACGTCGTTTGCAAGCTTCACTTTTATACGTTCTGAGAGCAAAGCTTGGAGATGCTGTCCACACTGGATCGTTATGGGGCGAGCTAAGAATGCAGGCTCCAGTGGCGCGGACTCCTTCTTTGCCGCTTTAGCAGAAGTGGAACAAAGGTACAATGAACGGCGTAACTCCCGAATGCTAACAGGGTATATTCAGTAATGGGGATTTTCTGATGAAGGACGCCGTAACTGATTGAATGTGCTCCACAGCGCTATACTCTTGCTTGTTATAGTATAGAAACTCGAAATTGTGCATGATCTGATGGCGTATCGAGACACAAACCGTGAATCAATAAAATCACAGGAACGAAGCTTCATTACGCGATGGAAGAAGGAAGAGGAATTCGCTGGCAATTTCCCCTCTAGAGTTGCATCCACCAGAATCCTCTATGCTGGGCCACTGTCATCAAGGCGGCCTAACGGACTCAATAAAACCTACTTCATCCCTGCATCGTACTGAAAGAATATATTTTTAGGAATATTCATCAGACAGGGATTCCTTTACTCTGTGAGCTCCTCAATGAAATATAGTAGATCGAGTTCAAACGGCAATTCCGTTTTAAGCTGTTATTAGTTTCATAATGCTGTTTTAACGCCGGAGTGCGCGATACGAAAGTTATCACATGAGTTGTGGGCAAGAAGTCGGACGACGGACGGGATCCGACCCATCTCTGCTTACCGGCCAGTTTTGCTGTTCCCTATTTGATTTTCCTAGATGCGGTAGAACCCGTCGTGCTCAATTCTTTTTTATTTGCAGCCGATGATAGCGCCAAGGATGTTATTTAACAGGTTTTGAGGGATGGAAGGAGAATCTCCGAAAAAGGTTCGATTCAGTTTTGGCACGTGCTTGAGGCGGAACCAAACAGTTTGGCACGGCTTTATAAGATGTGCGGACATTTAATGACGTATTAGCTCACGGCAAGAAGTGGGAACACTTCATTGTAAAATTATACTTATTTGAACTGATTTACCAGCCCTGGGCTCCTTCCACTTTCCTTCAATTTAGAGTGAGAAAACCCCCTTCTTCTTTGCGGGAATTTCAGCTGTATCGCAAGGACTTCTTTGAAAGACACCATAGAATTACTGCTTATAAGTAAGGGGGGGGGGAGTGTCGGTCGAGCCAGCGGTCGTGTATGTGTTTGTTTGGCGCTTCATGGGACCTGGCTGATGATTGTACTTTTCTAAGTCGCCGCAAGATCTCAGACTGCCCACCCGATCTTCTATTTCTTGACAAATGCGTCAGCGTTCTTGATCTTCGACCTTTCACGGAGTTCGGAACTCCAAGTTCCTTACCGGGCTTGCGTTTCTGGACGCATCCATCGTCACATTTTGAAACATTTGAAACATTTTGTTGAAAACGCTAATTGCATGTTTGTTCTGCTTGACTAAGGCCTGTAAGTTATACGGTAAGGTAGGGAGCGGAGCTGGACGGTATGGAAGCGAAGGTGGAAACCTGTGATAGCCGCTGCAAGTAAATAAAAACATCTGATACTCGATTCCTTTTAGTGCCATATTTTATTAACCTAACGAAAGGTTGGTCTCTTTTGCTGTTCACTTCATTACCACGTCTTATGGCGGTATCTTCATTTAGCATATTTTTCACCTTGCCAATGGAATTTGCTGAAGAGTTTCGATAGGACTGATACTAAGCATAGCAAACAAAGGGCACCTTTGCTCCGCTTGAAACTTGACACATTCAGTCCTCATGGGTGCGGGTGCTGAAGAATTACTTCTATAGCGTGCTAGCTGCGAAATGGCCTATACAATGAATTTCGGGGATTTGCCCGTATACAAATCAATTATCAGTCAAATCAATCAAATTTTTACTCTACCAGACGAATCTGGCACCAGTTTACGGCAAAGGAGGGAAGGATGACGAGCGCTGGAGGGCTGATGCCGTTTGGACGCACTGACTTTTGGCTGCGAGCTCATTTTTAAAGTGCCTAGATCACCAAATCCGCTGAAAACTTGTATATAGGGTAATCTAACATCCTGTTTACGATGATGATTTCTTGGCGCTAGCGCGGATGGAGGACACTACGATTATCTTCTGGGTTCAGCTTTAGCAGAGGGCATAATCGTGTTCTCCATTAGCGCAGCGCCAAGAATGAATGTCATAGTCGTAATCAGGATGTTAGATTACCTCTGTATACAAGTTTTCAGCGGTACGCGGGCCACTCGCATCTTCGTCCTGCTAGCTGCTATAGAAAAGGTTCCTGCAGAATATTTAGACACTTTTTTCCATCACCTTCACTTCTATCAGTGAGATCAACAAAACCAGATAATCGTGGAATATATTTGATCACTGCTACTGTACATCTTCACAAAACGCATATTCGAATCAGGTCGTCAAAAGACCCCTCATCGGAATGTCACTGGCTCGTGCTTATCTCGGAATGCAATGCTTCTGGGGAGAGTCTGCATTTGCCAAGGTAGAACCTCTTCTTCTAACAGGGAAATCTTGCCGAATGAAGTGTTTTTCAGCTAAAAGGTGTGAAAAAGACGCGGGTAGGCTATGCTGGAGGTACGACCGCCAATCCATCTTACTGGAACATCGGAGACCATACAGGTTTGTTGGTGGATCGGCCACTTTAGGAATGATGTCAAATCATGGAAAAAATTTTTCAGAGGTGATAGAAGTAACATTTGACCCGTCCTTGATCTCCTACCGACAGTTGCTTGACTTTTTCTGGGCTCATCATAATCCAGCTAAAAGACGGAAGAAGCAATATCGGTCAGCTATTCTTTACGAGACTGAGGAAGAGAAGATGGTCGCCGAGTTGACATATGCTCAGGCTAAGGTGTGCTCAAGTTGAAAGCTACTGGTATTCTGAGCCAAGCGTTTTCGATGGGTTCAGGAAAAGCACGGGGACATAGAGACGTATGTGGCCAAGTTGGAAAAGTTCCACCAAGCTGAGGACTATCACCAGAAATTCTGGCTCCGAAATAATCGTGATATATTCGACGAAGTAAGCATTTGGCCTTGGTACTCAGCACTCCCTTGAAAATAAAATTTTCCATGCTCGATTTTAGCTTAGAATGAATGATGCCCAGGTTGCGAACTCTGAACTGGCAACCAAGGTAATTAAAGGTTTAAAAGCAGTTTATCCTGGTATTAAAAGCTTTAGACAGCGGGCCTCCAAGAACAACCCAGTACCACGAATCAAGAGATTCTTGGTCATTGCGCGATGGTCGTGTGGGTGGAGCCGAGCCGACCAACGTGCCTTCTCCATTGACGCAGCTCCTCTTAATCGTCTCTCAAGTTTAGGCGCGAAACAGAATGCCACAGGCGGGGCCACGCCCATATGATCAGCTCAGACTCTATATTTGAACAACATCTATCTCTTTGTGACTTTTCAGTTGGTTTTTCAGTTGAACGCCTATTGCGCTGGATATACAGAATTTTCCGAGTTGGAAGAATTGAGGAAACAAAATGGGCTCAGTGACGCTTTAGTAGAACGAGTGAAGCAGTACGCCTTATCTGGCGGTGATCCGAGTGCTTGTCACTGAAGTACTGTTGGAAATTACGTTTTCGTGCAAGGAATACAGGCGTTATCGGTGCGTCATGGAGACGTTCCTGCCTACATACAGTATAGTCCCCGAATAATGGGACGCGTAAGAGGGATGGCATCAGCACGCGCCAGCTTGCTTGCTTCTTTTTTCTTTTTGGCAAGCGAAAAGACTGTATCACTTTGTTCGTAACGGTCGTTTTCCACTAACTACTGTCGCCCACTCGCTTCAAGGACTAATGGAGAACGGGCTGGCTCCGCACTATGCCGAACTTCACACACAGGCCCCATCACCCGCTGCGAACAAGACTGTCTGCTTTAGCTGGCGCCATTCTCGCTTCCACCAGTCGTTAGCACTGTGGGACGGGCAGCCATGGCTAAAAATGGGCTGACGCGGCGCCAAATATGTGTGCTTAGGGTTCTTTCGCTCGACACTCCTATAAGCTCTGTAAATACAGTCATATCGAACAACTGGAAGGGGCGTCACCACTTTTTCCCGCGCCGTTTCTTCTTTCTCATACGTATGCCTCTGCTTCTGTTGGACCGCTGAGCCACTCCAAAGCTCGATTCCTTATGTGCCATTGCAGCAGAACTCATTTGGAAACCTTAGTATGC